ATTCGCTAGCGTCCGCGGTCGCGTTGCGGTACCAGCCAATTGAGTGATTCACTGGCCGCGACGCGACCGCAGACGCTAGCGAATCGCGCGATTCGCAAAGTCTGACATCGGCCTTACGACCTCTCCCCTTCGTTTTCATCGGCGCGCCTTTCCTTTTCGTGCCATTCACCTTTGAAACAAACTGAACTATTTTCTCACTTCGGCCAGTGCCATCAGTATAAAGAGAAATGGTTATCGATTGTACGCTTATAATCAAAAGCCTTGCGCTCTAAAGTACTGGCAGCATTATTGAGTGTTAACTTACCACTATCATTATTGAGTGTTAACTTACCACTTGCTTTGTTCGTTCACCATGCTGAGCGACTGAGGCACGCTTGGCCCGAATTTCGTCTCCTCGTTGCCATTTTAACATGTGATCGTCGTCATACTTAAATATAACAAAAGTACATTCATAGAAAAAATCTGAACCCCACAAAATTCGTACCCCTTTCCTCCTTGATTCCTCTTCTTTTTCTTTATCAGCGTCATCAGCTTCACTTCCTCTCTTTTCCTCGGCTTCCTTTCCGGCTGGAGAACGCTGGGAGCGCTGGGACAATGCCTGATCGCGCCTGAAAATAGGTTTCATGAAGATGGTGCCATCCTATAATTACAGGGGGGGGGGGCAAAAAAGAGTCACTTCCCTTCACAATCAAAACGGATTCTAAATACACATCGCAGAACTGAACCAAATAACTTTCAACTGTATATTAAAAAGCACAGTCTAATCTTTCAAAGCCAAGTCTTTCACTGAGGGTCCTCTCTCACTGAAAGATCTCTAGCCGGTTGGTGGCGCGACCCAGGTGGCGGATAGGGGGTAAATCGCGGACCAAAAGCCACCATGTACTTGCCCTGAGACGCAGGTGGATTCAGGGGATGGACTCCCTGTTTCTGTAGTGCTGTGTCGATTCATACCAGCTGTCTCCATGCAGGTGTATCCATGCATACTTCCTTTCTAGCATGCGCCATGCTTCAGCTTTCATTCCAAATCGCAGTGGCACTTGAATGCGTCTGGACTATATGCCTTATCAAAAAGTCCTTCGTCTTTTGAAAAGTTTATATGCTAAATGCAAGTCTCTCAGCTCAGAAAAAAACAAATTCAATTGAAATCAGATGGGGCCAGCACTGTATCCGTAATTCCAAGAATTCGAGCGTAAGTTCATCCCCTCAACATGAATGGGTAGCAGCACTCTTGACCATCGCGACACCCCGATTTTAGTTTATAAAAAAATCTTACTGATCCAGCTCTTGTTGTACTTGTGAATGCCAGAACTCAATTCCAAGAATCTTAAGCCCAATGTCATTACTGACTTTATACATGATCGTCGGGGTGAGCTCTACTACAATCTTCTTACAGTACCTTAAATAGAGTCACTCGAATAGTCGGTTCTGGTTCACGATTCTCTAAACAGACCCTCGAAGCGTTGCCAATGGGGTCTGTTGATCTCTCCACTGCATTTCGCCTTGGATCGTATACTGCGCGCTGAGTCTACTGTTCGACTAAGCCATTTCGGAAGAATGGCGAGTTTTACAAGGTCAATCCTGGTTGAGCCAATTGTATCATCTGAAACCATAGATTTTGACAGAGCATTTCTCACGTCAACAAAGGATTTTCAATTTATTGGCCTTGCAAAATAAATCGGGTGTACTGTAGTATGAGTACTTATTTTACACGCTTTAGGCATGTAAAAAGTTACTCACCAGCGGATTAACTATTCCATGATAATCATCACAGTGATGATCAGATCCTTCTCTACTGGGATATTGACTTCCATCTCGACGCATTCACCGAAAATTGGCTCCAGAGTGTCCGCTCGATACTTCTTCTTCAAGTTTATCTAAACGCACTTGTTTTCAGCACTTGGTTCCTTCTGAATCCTCTTCAAGGACATGCTTTCGCCTTATCTTCAGCCTTTCTCTACATAAATATTACAATTTTTACCATTTTCTTTCCGCATCTCACAAGGAGATACGGGTCGCACATGCCGTTCTTTCGTTGCGAAACCAGTTTTCTCGCCTCCACAATGTACACCCGTAGGAGACATTTCACAGTACCGAGGAATTCTACACCAGGAGGATCCAGAAGTACTGAAAATGTGCAAGTTAACACCCTAAGATGAATCGGTTTTGTGCTGAACTGGTGGGACTGGACTTGAGTCTATACATAGCACGGCAACACCTAGTAAAACATCTGGCGCATCATTGACGCAGCTGACACATCGCTCAAACCGCGCGATTCCCTTGATTCGCGAAACTTGACATCGGCTCTAAGTAGAGGTTGAATAACCTTCCACCGGCCAGATGCGGGCTCAGGATCCGTATGGAGATTGAGAATTGTAAGTGGTCAAATAATATCCTGCTGTTTCCATCTACAGCTAGTTAGAGCAGAATACGGTATTTGTGTGATTTTCACATCGCTCGTGACGCCTACTTTTGGGCACAGACCTCGGCTACGGACCCGAGCAGGCGTCGAGCAAAGGTGAGGCATTGTTTAACAAGGAGTAGCGGTGAAGTGTCGCGATATCGCAGTTCCACATTCCAGTGCTATGTTTAGCCTTGCTTTGCTAAAGCCAGGGTCATAAGTTTTGCGATTAGGGCAGCAGTACGAATTGGAGGAGAGATGGGCTGCTTGTGTTGAAGTGGTGATCTAAGCCTAGCAACGTCCGACTCAACTCTACTAAACGTCGATTAAAAGTAACACCTCTAGCAGAAGTCGTGTCGAAGAATCTATTCAGTGGGTGGGATAGAGTAGCCCACGAGTATCACAGATGTGCCGTTGTCGCGGCTCGAAAGTGCGCGACAATGGCGCTAGGGTCTTACAAAGTCAGCATTTGGCGACTAATCTTAGCATTTGGACGAGTTACGTAGCGCACACCCCATGACAGCAATGTGGATTACGGCGTAGCGGCTACTTCAAAAGATGCGGGCTAGTGGAATCAGGGCGGCGGTCAACAGAATCGTCCGGGAGTGACGCCGTCGCGCGCGGATCACTTGCGCGGCGTCGTAACGCGGCAGTTTTTCGATGGGCGCGGCCTTATTCGAATTTGACGATTGGAGCAATGATTCTTCATGGTCTACTTCATTCACATGATTCCCAAGATTATTCTCGTAGAAGCGGCACCTTTTGTACTTAATTAGGTCTGGTTTGCACCTAATTAAGGTCGCCGACCTTTACTTAGGTGCGAACCAAACCTAGTTAAGTATTAAAATGAATAGGTCGTAATGCTATGCACAAATCTGTGCCCATCGTTACATGGTAGAGTCAATGTATTATAATTTTGAGTTATTTATTAACTGCCGTGCTATATAGCGGTATTAGACACTATTCAAATCGGATTTCATGATGAGATTGTTAGCAAAAGGCGGGACGAGTCGGCTTGCCCGTCCACCGCCACCGCGCCGTCGCGGCCACGACCACCAGCGCGGGTCCCCGGACGATTCTGTTGACACGCACCCAGTTTCCTATACCGTTATGGTTAACTAGTGCCAATTATTTCACATGTTCG